AAATAGAAGGGGACCAAGGACGGAGCCTTGGGGGACTCCAACCGAGACAGGGCGAGGGGAGGAGGTATCATTAGAAAAAGAGACACTGAATGAGCGTTGGGAGAGATAAGAGGAAAACCATGAGAGGGCCGAGTCACAGAGACCAAGCGATTGCAGAGTTTGAAGAAGGAGAGCATGATCAACTGTGTCAAAGGCTGCTGAGAGGTCAAGAAGAATTAGTATGGAGTAGTGGCCTTTGGATTTATCTGCGATTAGGTCGTTAGTAACTTTGATAAGGGCAGTCTCTGTAGAGTGGAGAGGGCGGAAGCCAGATTGAAGGGGGTCAAGGAGAGAGTTGGAATTGAGGAAATGAGACACACGGGTAAAGACAAGTCTTTCCAGAAGCTTTGAGGAAAAAGGGAGCAGGGATATGGGACAGTAGTTAGAGGGGGTGGACGGGTCGAGGGATGGTTTTTTTAGTATAGGTACTGCAGTGGCATGTTTAAGGTCAGCAGGGACGATGCCAGAAGAGAGTGAGCAGTTGAAGATGTGTGTTAGAGAAGGCACGAGACAAGTGGAGAGAGATCTGATAAGGTGAGATGGGACAGGATCGAGCGGGCAAGTGGTGGGGCGAGAGGAGCAAAGAAGAGCAGCCACCTCTTGGTCAGTGGCTGGGGAGAATGTCTGAAGGGTAGGAAAGGCATGATCAATGTGTGATTGAGAAACAGAAAGGCAAGGAGGGGAGAATTCTTTCCTTAGCTTTTCAATTTTGTCAGTGAAGTAACATGCAAAATTATCAGCAGTAAGGTTGGTTTGGGGGGTGGCCACAGCGGGGCGAAGAAGAGAATTAAAGGTGTCAAAGAGACGCCTGGGGTTGCGGGAACATGAACTAATGAGAGAGGAAAAATAGGACTGTTTGGCAAGGGCAAGGGCTGCACTGTATGAGCACAGTATGAATCTATAATGGAGAAAGTCTGACTGGGTGCGAGACTTCCTCCAGGAGCGTTCAGCACAACGGGAGCATCTTTGCAGGTAGCGCGTTGATTTAGTATGCCATGGTTGGGGGCGGGTCCTCCTTGATGTGCTTGTTTGGAGTGGCGCTGCAGTGTTCAAGGCAGATGTAAGAGTAGAGTTATATATGGAGATGGTCAGTGAAGGACAGGATAGGGAAGGGATGGACAGCAGTTGTGAATCAATGTCAGCTGAGAACTGTTGGAGATCAAGAGAATTAAGGTCCCTCCTGAGTTGAGGCTGGTTAGGCGGAGGTTGTTGGGTGAGGGGGTACGTGAGAGCAAACGATAAGAGGTGGTGATCAGAGAGTGGATAAGGAGTGTTGCAGATATTAGATACCGTACATGCATAAGTGAAGATTAGGTCGAGGGTATTGCCAGCAACATGGGTGGGTGAATTTGCCCACTGTGATAGCCCGAGAGAGGAAGTAATTGAAAGTAGTTTATTGGCTGCAGAGGTCAAAGGTGGGTTTATAGGAATATTGAAGTCCCCGAGAATTAGGGATGGGATGTTAGAAGAGAGGAAATAGGGTAGCCAGACAGCAAAATGGTCAAGGAAGAGAAGAGGGGAACCAGGGGGACGATAGATAACAGCAATGTTAGCAGCGAAGGGTTTGAAAAGGCGAATTGAGTGTATTTCAAATGATGGGAAAGAGAGGGAAGGGGGGGTGGGAAGAGGTTTAAAAGAGCAGTGAGGGGAGAGGAGAAACCCAACACCACCACCTTTACATTCAGAGTTTCTTGGGGTGTGGGTAAGTTGGAGACCACCGAAGGACAAAGATGCAGGGGTAGCAGTGTCAGAGGGGGAGAGCCAGGTTTCTGTTAAGGCTAGTAAATCTATTGAACGAGAGATGAAGTAGTCATGGACAGCAGTGGATTTAGTTATATTGCAAACAGAGCGTGCGTTCCAGAGGGCAGTATTGAAGGAGGATTTAGAGGAACAAGAGATGGGTATGAGAGTAGTGTGGATCCTTGGGTTAGTATGTGCTGAGTTTGTTGAGAGGGGACCGGGGTTTGGAGAGACATCACCAGCTGCTAGGAGCAGAAGGATAGAAAGGAAGTGAAGGTGGGAGTAGGATTTGAAAGTTTTGTAGGAGGGTATGTATGTGGATGATTTGGAAAGAGTCGGTGGAGATAGGCTGGAAAGGTATGTGTAGAGTGCATGGGATGAATAGAGAGGGGAGGGGAGTAAGGTGGAAGTAATGATGATGGTGTTGCCAGGGACAGGTGAGTGAAAGGATAGGGATATTTTAGTAATGACAGAAGTTAGTGTTAATGTGAAAAATAGAAGGGAGAACATTAGAGAAAATTGAAGATTATATTAGCTTTAGTGTACTAATAATCTTAATTTTAGTAATGACAGGAGGCGAATATTTGCATATCTTTCTTTACTCAAAACTCCAGCAGCATAGTAACATAAACAACCAATCAGAAAAAAGATATAATGCCCATAAAAGGCCCTGTCTATGACATCACTTCCTCTTTCTTTGAAGCGAAACAATAAATAACAACAAGAGACATAATCATATTACGTCAACAGTTCAACAACATATTAGAATATCCAACTCCATTAGTTCCACGATGCAGAGGTATGGAAGGTGAATCTTTGTCTCGATGAGAAGACGTTCACGCTGCAAGAAAAAGAAAAAGGTGAAAGGTATCTGGCATGATAACTTATCCGCATACAATAAGCATTAAGCATCTGATATACCAACGAACATTAGAATGTGAAACATATCAATATATATTTATTCTAACGCAATGATATTTAAGAATATATAAACACAACATAATGCAAGGTTCATGTCTAGTATTCAGCCAATACAAGACCCACAAGTTACAGGTCTAAGTAGCAAACATACAAACCATACGTACTTACCTTCATGAACATAAAGGACATATTCTGTTCAACACAAGAAACATGGGAGGGATTCTATAGGGTGGGAAATATTCGCCTCCTGTCATTACTAAAATTAAGATTATTAGTACACTAAAGCTAATATAATCTTCAATTTTACCACATGACAGGAGGCTTCATATTTGCATTTTTAAAGCTTCGAATTGACTAATGTGAAGGAAGCATGAGATGTTTGCGAAATAAAACGTTACGCGTACTTTCTCTAAAGCGCTCGAAATCGCGCATATAATAATATCGCTTTAGAAGCATGCAGCGAAAAAAGTTTATACGAAACGCCGCACCTGGCAAAGTAAACTCCGAAACAAAATTTAAACGCTAAAACCGCCAGCGAGACCCATCACAGCAGTATTGCGGTAAAACACGGTCCCGCCGGAATTCCCGTAAATCCAGAAATTGTCCGTCGAAACCGCAAATTCCGAAAAGGCCGAAACTATTAAGCATTCTGACCGCGCGCAAATGGCGTCTGACGCACAAGCATTGCCAACTCTGAAAAGGCGAAACAGGCAGATTCATCACCGACATGGCCAAAAGTAACCCGTCTGGTGGCGAGAAAGCCATCCCGCGCCATAGCTAACGTCACGCCGTCTAAATGGCGAGCATAATACGAAGACTATTTGGCACGAAATTCAGTGACAAACAAGGATTGTCCGGCCATTCCCTAAGGAATCTCAGCACCACATCCACCTGCCAGAGGCGTGAATATTTGGGTGCAGGGATCTCGACAATTCGACACCCCACAGTAGTCGACAAACCAGTGTATCTTGACCTACTGGTCTGCTCTGTACCGGAACGTGCGCCGCCAATATCTGCGTATATCGGCGGATCTGATCACTTTGAGGGATCGATATGACCGACCCAACGAGACCAGGTGTGACGGATAGTTGAGGGTCAGTGGGACAGGTGCGGTAAAGGGATCGGAATCCCTTTCCACACACCACTCACTCCAGGCCGACCAGGCAGAAATATAGCCTTTCCTGGTGCCGGGAGCCTATGAGTCCCATAGGAGGTCTTAGTTGATGCAATAGGTTGTGAACTGACCAGGAGCCCCTGAAGCCGTCCAGGCAACTAGTGCCAGTTGTCCTTCCATGACAAGGGAGTGGGCTTCCCCTCGAGGTCCCGTCAGAAGTATAGGGAAGGTAGGGAGTAGTAGAGGGTCTCCGCGAGACATCTCCAGGCGATCCGGGAAATCACGGTTGGCCCTGCCCGAGGGGTATCATGAGCAGGAGCGATATCTTGTGGGTGTGTGTGGGGGTTCATCCATCGCCCCGTATCCGAAGGAAGAGTCAAAGATCGTTTTGCCAATCCAAGTTTGTATGTGAAGTAATCACCATCGAAATTCCATCCTCACTTCCGCTGACAGTGGGATCCAGTGGTCGTATGAGTGACCGGTGCGTACGTATCTCACCATCAGTCGTAGTGGGCCAGGGAATAACGCTTGTATGGAGAGGGAGAGGAATCTCACAATCCGACAGCTATCCTTATAGAGGCGCTCTTTGCCGTAGACGGACGCGGAACTTAGTTCTCCAAGCTGATGTTGAAACCGAGGAACTGGCCCGATTCATATGGAGAAGCGATCTTTGTCTGTGTACAACAAAAAACCCATGGAGTCCCGAAAGTGAACGACAAAATTTGTCTGCAAACGTGGCCTGGATTCGTAAAGAATCAGCAAGTCTTCCAGGTATACGAGGCATCGCACGCCCAAATTTACGGATGTGTGCCCTCACTGGTTACAGTAGGTTCGCGAGCACCACGGAGTCGTAAACTGCCGTGTTTGTCCTCACCATTGGAATCGGAGGCAAACTTCGGCAGTCCAGGGCAACGGGTACTGACAAGCGTGCGTCCTTGAGGTCCAGATGTGTAAACCAGTCGTTATCGCCTAGGAGGTCTTGTAGAAGGCGAATTTCCTCCATCTTGCAGCATTTGTATACCATGTAGGAGTTCCATTGATGTAGTCTCCTGGCTTCTTCTTGACCAGGAAAAATTTGCTGGGGAAGCCTTCCCCTCCGGTGCATGTTGAATTGCGCCCCTCCTGAAGAGGGTGCCGATTTTCTTGTCCACGAGGCGTTCCTGTTCTGCCAGCGTGCGTAATGGAGGTGAAGGGGCGACCTGCACGGCTGTGATAAAACTCTATGACATAGCCTTGTACTGTCTGGAGAACCCAGGTGACTTTGGTAGTCGTCTCCCAATTCTGTAAAACAGAGACCGGTTGCCGGTCATAATATTGGAAACAGTTAGTTATGTAGGTTGACACACTAGTAGATGAAGCGGATGGGTTCCTTTGTGTATTAGATGGGAGAAATATGAGGACCGTGTATACGATCTGGAACCTGTCGCCCAGAAGCGGCTGGTGGCTCGGTTCAGTTACCGACCAGTCCTCCCAGAAACACCTTTCCCCGTAGGGTTGTGGAAGACTTGTTTTAGCGAGGTCTGGGTTTAATTTAGTGTGGTGAATAAATTCACGTGTTTCTTGAATACTGCAATGAACACTACGTCGAATAGTAGGCCTTGTGCTTTGGGCCGAATTCTTGTAGTTCCTAAGTCCAATAGTGTGTTGTCGATGCGGCCAAGTACAGATTTGCGTCTGTCGGCGCATAGTGCGTCGTTTACGTTGCCCAGGAGGCATATCGAGCATTAAGACCGTTCTTTGGAGGTGGTAGGGTTGAGTTGTGTACCCTGGGGTAACTCGGTCTTGAGGCGTGCGCATCCTTCCATCCCCCGAGGGTTGCGCAGCCAATAGTGTTCGTCCAGGAACGTTCCGTCTTCGGCTACTCTGGTTTAGTGCCGTTACAGTTATCTCTGTCTCAGCCACCGTCCCAGAGTAAGGTTTCCCTAACGTACTTCGAGGAAGTGTGGGGAAGGTCTTGCCGTTCCATTTCCTCAGACGGTGGGCTGTCTTCGTGTCGCTCATCTACCATGTCCAAAGTACGTGGTGGGTAATAGTCTTCTTGGTCGGAAGATTGTGGCGGGCGGGGTTTGGATTCCCGGTGCTCCGCCTATTTGGTCTGTTCGATGGGCGTCTTGCCCTTGACCTTAGTGGCAGGGGGCTGGAGCCCTTCCCTTGCCATTTTGACTTGAAGGCTTGTGGGCCTGAGGTCTCCATCAAGCGGTGTGGGGTAGAGTTCATAACAGAACCTTCTCCACTGAGGCTGTTACTGTGGCGTGTATCGTTGCCTAGAAATCTTGGGAACGTTGAGAGTGTCCACCATGACTCGTTCCCGTCCTGTTGTGAGATAGTGTGAGGGTCAGCACATAGGGGTGTTAGACTCCTGGTAGAACTGGGGATCACCCAGGTAAAAACAGTTTGAATTGCCTGCTTTAGTATGTCTGAGAGTATGAATACTCGTGCCAAGTGTAGAGGGGTCACCTCTATTAGTTTAATCTGGCTACTGAGAGTCGTGGTGCAGGCGGTGACTGGTAGTGGTGTCGGTCTGGCTAGCCGGGTTCACCACAAATGTACGCCATAGCTGTATGCACGGTTTTTAACTATACAGGCTTAGTATATAGGCGCATGGGGCCTGTCTCCATAAGGTCTGCAGCCGCAGGACCCATGTCTATTAGGCTGGGTTCATCCCAGGTGGTGTGCCATGGTAACCCAGAGGACACCCATATTATAATTATTGGCACCTTACAAGCATTGCATGCATATCTGGGGGTCCTCCCAGGTGGTGTGCCATGAAAAATTACCCAGAGGACACCCACGTTCAATATGTACACTAGGCACAGTAAATATACATATATGTATCCCTGTGAAGGGTATACCGCAATACACTCAGTTTTCTCAGTGATCCTGCCGTCAAAACGCATCCGGCATGGTATTGTTGCTTTAATGTAAAACTGACAGGCAGTGTGGCGTAGGCCTCCGTGCATATGATCGGGGTTCACCCCGGGTGGTGTGCCATGGTAGCCCAGAGGACACCCACATCAAAGGTAATGGTCTGTCAGTGACCTTGCATGCATATCTGGGGGGTCACCCCAGGTGGTGTGCCATGAAAAAATACCCAGAGGACACCCACATAAATTTGCACCGTCAGGTACAGTAATATAATATGACCCTCTGTAGGGTACAATAATATAATATAATATGCCCTTTGTAGGGTACAGTAACACAATATGCCCTTCGTAGGCTACAGTGATATAGTTGATCTTGTTATAGGCACAGTATATGTTTTGTATAACGACTGTGATATTGTACGGCTTCACAATAATACATAGATTGTGTGCCTGCTCAACATATAATCATCCAGTGTAAGGCACCATGAGAGATATATCCATGAGAATAAAATATAATAATTGTATCAATAAATGAATGTGCCCAGAGAGGGGGACCCCTGAAGGGGTTAATCCAGATGCAGGGCGCGGTGATCGGGTGATTCCTGTAGGGTATAGAAATATAGTATGACCCTGTGCAGGGTATAGTAATATGGTATGACCCTGTACCTAACTCTGATCTTGTGGAGAGTATAACAGTATATAGTATAACCCTAATTGGGGTATATTAACTGGTATGACCCTAAGCAGGGTATAGAGACATAGAGGTCTTGAGCTGGCAACAAAAAGGGGGTGCTTGTCTCTTTAATTCATATATTGTAAATGGGCAGCACAGCAGGCAGGCACTGGGCAAAATATCACCTGCTACACTAATACCCTCCCTAGTACACACTAGGGAGGGTATACAGATGTGGAGCCCGGCGGTCGGGTGAGTTACCGATCCGCCGGGCAAGCGGGGAAGGCGGCCGTCCGGTATCTCGCGAGCCGCGAGATCCAAGATGGCCGCCGCCCGCGTGTGAAGGTGCGCCGCGATCGACCGCGCGGCGCCGGAACGAAAAAAAGGGGGGAAACGCACACAGCACTGTTCCCAGTCCCCCTCCACCCGTCCCTCTACCGGCCCCCACGAAGAAAAACAGGAAACCGGCCCGCGGCGCGCGGCACTGACAGCCGTGCTCGCGGGTATCGGCCATGGAAAGTAATAGGGGGGGGGGCCTAAAACCGTGCAGGGACAGGGATAAGGGGACCCGAAAATAAACCCACGAAAAATAAGTAAATAAAAAACAGTAAATTAAAACAATACAGTAAATGAAACAATACAATCAAATATATAGTGAAAACAAAACCAAAAATATGTGAAAACGAAAAAAACAATGTATATAAGCAATTGCCAGAGAGGCAAAATACTCTGACCTGATGTTGGCTGGAGCAGCAAAGAAAGAGGAAGTGATGTCATAGACAGGGCCTTTTATGGGCATTATATCTTTTTTCTGATTGGTTGTTTATGTTACTATGCTGCTGGAGTTTTGAGTAAAGAAAGATATGCAAATATGAAGCCTCCTGTCATGTGGTAAAATGTGTATTATATAGATATGTAGATCATATATACAAACACACATAAATATCAATGAGTGTTTAAACCATTGTAAGGATGCAGTGTGTTAAATGAATTCAGGTGAGGAGTGGTTTAATGACTTGATTGGTGTGTTATGGAAACCTGCTGATACAGTCAGACACATTACTGGGAGTAGTATTGCTGTGGAGCTCTGTTATACGCTCAGACACATTACTGGGAGTATCATTGCTGTGGAGCTCTGTTATACGCTCAGACACATTACTGGGAGTAGTATTGCTGTGGAGCTCTGTTATACGCTCAGACACATTACTGGGAGTATCATTGCTGTGGAGCTCTGTTATACGCTCAGACACATTACTGGGAGTATTATTGCTGTGGAGCTCTGTTATACACTCAGACACATTACTGGGAGTAGTATTGCTGTGGAGCTCTGTTATACACTCAGGCACATTACTGGGAGTATTATTGCTGTGGAGCTCTGTTATACACTCAGACACATTACTGGGAGTATTATTGCTGTGGAGCTCTGTTATACACTCAGACACATTACTGGGAGTATTATTGCTGTGGAGCTCTGTTATACACTCAGACACATTACTGGGAGTATTATTGCTGTGGAGCTCTGTTATACACTCAGACACATTACTGGGAGTATTATTGCTGTGGAGCTCTGTTATACACTCAGACACATTACTGGGAGTATTATTGCTGTGGAGCTCTGTTATACACTCAGACACATTACTGGGAGTATTATTGCTGTGGAGCTCTGTTATACACTCAGACACATTACTGGGAGTATTATTGCTGTGGAGCTCTGTTATACATGCAGACACATTACTGGGAATATTATTGCTGTGGAGCTCTGTTATACACTCAGACACATTACTGGGAGTATTATTACTGTGGAGCGCTGTTATACACTCAGACACATTACTGGGAGTATTATTGCTGTGGAGCTCTGTTATACACTTAGACAGGTTACTGGGAGTATTATTGCTGTGGATCTGTTATACACTTAGACACATTGCTGGGAGTATTATTGCTGTGGAGCTCTGTTATACACTCAGACACATTACTGGGAGTATTATTGCTGTGGAGCTCTGTTATACACTCAGACACATTACTGGGAGTATTATTACTGTGGAGCTCTGTTATACACTCAGACACATTACTGGGAGTATTATTACAGTGGAGCTCTGTTATACACTCACACATTACTGGGAGTATTATTGCTGTGGATCTCTGTTATACACTCAGACACCTTACTGGGAGTATTATTGCTGTGGAGCTCTGTTATACACTCAGACACATTACTGGGAGTATTATTGCTGTAGAGCTCTGTTATACACAGACACATTACTGGGAGTATTATTACAGTGGAGCTCTGTTATACACTCACACATTACTGGGAGTATTATTGCTGTGGAGCTCTGTTATACACTCAGACACATTACTGGGAGTATTATTGCTGTGGAGCTCTATTATACACTCAGACACATTACTGGGAGTATTATTGCTGTGGAGCTCTGTTATACACTCAGACACATTACTGGGAGTATTATTGCTGTGGAGCTCTGTTATACACTCAGACACATTACTGGGAGTATTATTGCTGTGGAGCTCTGTTATATACTCAGACACATTACTGAGAGTATTATTGCTGTGGAGCTCTGTTATACAGTCAGACGCATTACTGGGAGTAGTATTGCTGTGGAGCTCTGTGATACACCTAGACACACCAACAATATGGAGCTCCTAGAAAAGATGGGCAGAGGGATTTGGGGACA